CGATGCTGATGTGGCGGCATAGCTGCGCTGTCCCCCTCCACCAACTGCCATCGTAGGGGCTTGCACAGCCCTGCCGCCCTGCTGACCACCCGCATGACTGGAAATACTCAGCCCAACCAGCATGGAACGAGCGGCAGTCGATGTCCAGGCATATGGACCGCCATTGAGGCCCGACTCGAACTCGCCTCCGTGCCTGGAGCCCTGTCGCCGAGCAGTTCCCTGAACTCCTCCCGCGCCCTCTCCATCGAGCTTTTGTGTCGGCCCAGCGCCGGTTCCCACCATTCCTGGGTGCCCAGCTCGGCGCGCATCTGGGGGTGCTCGATCATCGCCACATCCGCCAAGCTTCCTGACACTTCTTCTCGGCCAGCTACTTCAGCGACTTGCTGGCCCTCGCAACCTCCTCCCAGCCACGGTGCTCGGGCTGCCACAAAACCTGCTGCATTTACGGGACGCGTCACACCTGCCACGTCCGCCGTCCAGCTGGGGCATCCCGCAACATGCTCGGCACGTCATGCCGCTGCACAACCTCGTCTCGTGGACGTCCGCCGCCGTTGGGCACGGGGGCCTATCCCATGGCTCCTGGTCCCTCAGCATGCTGCGCTCCGCATTCCGCAGGACCCTCAAGTACAACACGTTGTTCTCGACGCTCGCCTTGAGCCAGCGTGCCCAAGGGCCGCCTGCCTCATTTCCACGCTCGGTCTGCGGGGGCCTCGCGCGTGCGGTCTGAGCTTGACCATCACGAAGCCCAGCATCACTCGTCGTGTGTTGCGGGGCGAGACAGCAAACAACCAGTCCCACCCCCCAGAAGAACGACACGAGGGGAGAGATAAACAGGCTAGGCGGAGGGGACGGGGGGCACGGAAGGGGGATAGGGGGGGAGGGAGGGGAAGAAGGAGGGGAGAAAGGAGGGGAATAAGGGGGATGGGGGGAGGGAGGGGAAAAAAGGAGGGGAAAAAGGGAAGAGGAATTCAATAATTTCTGTAGACCTCGAGGAGGAGGAGGGACGAACGCCCCCCTTCGAGGGGGGAGCATTGCGCAGCCGCCGCCGCCGCCAACTCCCACCCTGCCCCTTGGGCGCCTGGTGGGCCCGTTGGCTCTCCGCCTCGAGCCTGCTCAGCGTGTCCCGTTGCCGCGCGGTCTCGTTCCTTGCGGGGAGGAGGAGGAGGAAGGAGGAGGAGGAGGAGGAGGAGGAGGAGGAAGAGGAGGAGGAGGAGGAGGAGGAGAGGAGAGAGGAGAGGAGGAGGAGGAGGAGGAGGAGGAGGAGGAGAGGACGGAGGAGGACGGACGGAGGATGGGAGGAGGGAGGAAGGAGGAGGGAGAAGGAGGAGGAGGAGGAGGGGGGGGAGGAGGATGGAGGAGGAGGAGGAGGAGGAGGAGGAGGAGGAGGAGGGAGGAGGAGGAGGAGGAGGCGGGAGGAGGAAGAAGGAGGAGGGAGAAGGAGGGAAGAGGAGGAGGAAAGGAACCAAGGGGAATCCAAGACGCATCAACGATGTTGCAATAAACCCTCCCTCCGAAATCCTTTTCACCGTTTCACAACTCCCTACAATCATGTCTTCCATTGCGGGAAGCGGCCCATTGGAAAACAACCGTCAGAAAATCCTCCATCGTGCCAAAGCACCATTCTGGGACCTCACCGCCGAAGATCAACCTGGGATTCCAACACCGCGATTCATCTTGACCGTTGCGTCCTGACAAGCCAAAGTTGTGCCAGAACGCCAGTCCTGCGATTTCAACCATACGAAGCCTCGGATCGAACGTGCACGACGCTAACGCGAGAGTCACATGTCTAAAAAGACATGCCATCCATCCTTGAAGCTGCAGCACACTTGAAACAAAACACAAAGGCGCTCGGCGAGAAGGCGAGAACCACAATTTGAATAAGACCTGCCCTCCATCCGAGAAACAAACAATTACCAACGGTAAGACGACTGTGCGCGGCAATCAAGCTAACACCACATGATAAACAAGCCCCGTCCTCGTTCCGTGAAGCTCTTGCGAATGGCAAATTGCAAGATCATACGTGGTCTGGACCGCCGTCCGACACGTCTAGGGGTGCGACAGGGACAGTGATCGAAACATGGAAAAGGAATAGGGAGAGGAGGAAGAGGATGAGGAGGAGAAGGAGGAGGAGGAGGAGGAGGAGGAGGAGGAGGAGGGCGGATGAGGAGGAGGACGAGGAGGGCGGAGGAGGGGGAGGAGAGGAGGAGGAGGAGGAAGGAGGAGGAGGAAGGAGGAGGAGGAGGAGGAGGAGGCGGAGGAGGAGGAGGAGGAGGAGGAGAGGAGGAGGAGAGGGAGGGAGGAGGAGAGGAGGGGGGGGGGGCAGGTGCGGGGAGCAGGAAAGAAGACATCGGGGGGGGGGACGGGAGGAGGAGGAGGAGGAGAAGGAGGAAGGAGGAGGAGGAGGAGGAGGAGGAGTGGAGGAGGAGGAGGAGGAGGAGAAGGAGGAGGAGGAGAAGAGGAGGAGCAGGGGGAGGAGGATGAGGAGGAGGAGGAGGAGGCGGAGGAGGAGGAGGGGGGAGGAGGAGGAGGAAGGGGAAGGAAGAGGGAGGAGGAGGAGGGGGAGGAGGAGGAAGACAAGGGGGGGGGAGAAGGCTCCGGAAGAGAGTAGTTCGGATGAAGAAGGTGGAGGAGGAGGATCACCCTTCAGGAGCAGGAGCATGAACATCTGCTGGTCCCTCTGGCCTCCTGGCTGAAGGGAGATTGCGCCGAATTGGCTTCAGTGTAGTGGTAGTGGCGAGATAGAACCACGCGCGCGCTGCGCGCGCCTGGGTTATAGCATGATGTGGCGATGGTCGAAGGTTTGCAGCATCGGAGTGCAGAGAAACTTCGATCAGTCATGATCAACCAGCAGATGGCGACCTCCCTCTATGTCCCCACGGATGCTGCGTGATGATCCCCAATCACCCTTAACCCTGTATTCTCCTCTCAGCAGACCCTCTCATTCCCTATCCCGTCCGCCCTCCTTTTGGCGAACCAATGGCAGCATATTCCACGTGGCAGAACCGCTGTTGCGGGCGCGGTGGAAGTGCTCCACTCGGCATGCAACGCGACAAATAATATTATCTGTCGACGCGGTGGACGTGCTCCACTCGGCGCCCAACAACATTCGATTCATGAGTATTTCTTCGCCTGCGATACGCTGGGGACGATCAAAAAAACAAGGAGTGCATGGTCAGAGAGCTTCCAAAGTCAGACTCATCTCTGCTACGGGAAAGTGCCACTAACCATGCGATTATGGAAGATGCTGATGGGGCTCCTCAGCAAGCGGGCCCCACAAACATGGAGGCCGCCCACGCTAGAGTGCCAGCGAGCACAGAATTGGTCTCTGTGGCAGCGGGCGCGGGTGCTCTGCATCGTGCAGAGTGGACGAGGAGGGCGCAACGAGGAGGGGAAACCAGGAAATACAGTCGGGTTGCCGAAATATGGAACGCTAAGTACATAAGGAACGAAGCTTCTTTTTGGCGCCAGAAGCGCCTGCACGAGGAGGGCTGAAGGAACAAGCGTAGACGGACCCAAGGAACCTCGAGCCCCTTCCGGACCCAAGTTGTTCCTTATTTCAGCGACTTCACAGTGATGGGTGCTGGCGCGATGGACGTGCTCCACTCGGCGCACAACACCGCATCATTCAAGAAGCTCTCTCCCCAACTCTGCACGTCCTCCTTGGGGCCGTTCCTGGGCCGTGGGCCTTCGCGGGGTCGTCGTTTGGGCTCTCTTGCCTCCTCCTCCTCCTTCTCCTCCTCCTCCTCCTATGTATGTCCTACCAGCGGGTACAGCAAGTGATTGCCAATCGAAGTACAGAGTCGATGTGCACCAGCAAAGGCTGGGTGCAAGCGCTGCCATTCGCCAACGCACGAGCAGCAAGATGCCTGCAACCGAATTGCAGCTGCTATGGGCGGGCACCCTGGTCATCCCAGGCCCGCTTCTCTACGCACGCCCAGTGGCGACGAGGGGCAGGAAGCTGAAGCCCTGCTCCCAAGGTCCACGCTGGAGGGTGTCCTTTCAGGCACGCGCTGAGCAGCGCCGAGCAGCGTGAGCGAAAACACCCTCAGCGCGGACAGCGTTCAGGCAGGCCCCGCCCTACATGCAGGTCGGTGCCCCCGCGATTTCCGCGGTGGCTTTGCTCGAGCTTTGCTCGAGCCGTGCACCGAATTAGCGGGTGGGCACTGCGGCGCAGGGGGGGGGCGTTATGGACGCTGCGTCCGGGCCAGAGCACGCAGGCAGCCGCACGCGCTCGGAAGGGAAAGGGCGCGCTCTTGGCGCACGTTGCGCGCGGCGGCAGCTCTTGTCGCGTCCTCCAACCCGTCCTCCTCCTCCTCCTCCTCCTCCTCCTCCTCCTCCTCCTCTGTTGGCTCCTGTTCCGCCTCGAGAGGCCTGCGGAGCTCTGCAGACCTGCCTCTGCAGCTGCCGCTGCACGGAGGCCGCGCCGCGCAGCGAAGACACTGCGCGGGGGCCTCGCCAGGACACCGACGACCCACCAGACCACCCCAGCCTAACCCGAAGACCCAAATTTCGGGTTGGGGGGGGACGGGTTCCACATGTGTTCCCTCGATGTTCCCCGAGCCCCCCCCCCTCCCACTGGAGATCGAGGGTGAATTTGGGCCTTCGGGTTGGGTTGGGATGGTCTGGCGGGTGGTGACACTGCGACTGCACCGTCGACTTTGCGATACATAATTGATGCAACTACCTTCCCTTCCCGCCACCAAGGTGCTGCGAACCACAGGCGGGCGCACTGCTTGCATTCGAGACAGCTGCACCCGGTGCGGAGCGCCACCAATTCGATGCTCAAGACAGAATCACGCTAGCAGCGTCTCGGGTGCTGGACCGAGTCCGCGTACGAATTGCAAACGCAGCTGGAGAGGCCTTCCCCAGCACCTGAGAGCCGGCCCCGATAAGCCTTTGAAATGGAAGGCCGCTCCCGGTGTCGTAATTGATTGTGGGCACTTTTTATCTGATCGCCAGGAAGCCTGGGGGGGGGTCTAGGAGGAAGGAGCGAACGAGATTCATAAGGACAATGAGTGAAGGGAGTAAGGAACTCGCGTACGGGGGGCAGCCTCGCGCAGGCCTGCCTTCCGCGAAGCCCGCCTACCACGAGTTGCCCGGGGCCCAGTCGCTGCGGGTGAACAGGCTGAACGGGCCTGGCTTGTGGGGCTCCTGTGGCACGTCCACCTTGAAGGAGCCCACCGGCTGGCCTGCCCAGTTGGTCAGCGGCAAGACGGGGAAAGCGCCCTGCCCGTAGACGAGGGTGCCGGGCCAGGGATCCTCCGTCTCGAGCTCGGACGTGAAGAGCGTCGTGTTCAGCACGAGGACGTTGCCCCGGACCTCCGTCACTGCCAGCTTCGTCGGGACGTTCCAGCCCTTCGACTCGACCTCGGGAGCGGCCAAGAGGGGGGTGTCCAAGAGGGGGGGGTGCAAATCATGACCGGCGGCATGTGCGCGGCCCAGCGGGGGAGCCAGGGACGTCATGAAATAAGCAGAGGCGCCATGAAATCTGGGGAAGTATCATGACCCCCGCCATGACATCTACCCCCCCCCCCTAGTCATCACCCCCCTATTTTCCGCCCCCGATCGACCGCGGGGTACAGCATGAAGCCGTTGATGTGGGGGAACTTCTCGTGGAGCGTCTGGAACTCCGGCTTCACGGCGAGGTCCTGGTCGAATGAAGGGGCCCTGGGACACACAAATCAATACACACAAAGAACAGGATTCCCCATACTTTCCCATATTTTCTGGGTTCTTGTTTTCCCCCCCAATTCCCATATTTTCCTGGGAGTCGACGATTCATTGTGTCTGCGTGTTTTTTCCCCTCCTGGTCGAACTCCACGCGGATGCCCCAGCTGTGGGCGCCGCACGCGCCCGCCTCCGCGCACGGGCCGCCCCAGCTCTCGTCCCAGGCGTCGGCGTACACGGCGATTGGCACCGGGAGGGCAGGGGAACGAAAAGCGGCATTCACATAAAAAAACTCGGAGGTCCGCGCGGATTTCTCGGATCCGCCCTTGGCGGCGCCTTCGGCGCCGCCCCTGGCGCGCTCCGCGCGCCAGGGAGGGGGGGGGGTCCAGCGCCGATGCGAGAAATCCGCGCGGACCTCCGAGTTTTTTTTGTGTTGATGTCACCCTTTGGTTCCCCCAGGAAGGCCCCCGGGAGGTCCGTGCTGCCCTGGGTGATGGGCTCCACCGCCTCGGCCAGCCGCGCGGCCTCTTCCCGCTTGAACGGCGAGTGCATGATGGCGTAGGGCGACGCCGGGTCGCAGAAGTCCGAAGTCACGGCGAGCGCCGTGCGGTCCTGGAGGGGCCCTGGGGCACACAGACAAGTATGCACAGAGATCCCAGGATCCCCCACAGATGTTCCTGTATGTTTTCTGGGTCTTCGTCTCCCCCCCCATTTTTTGTCCACAGGTTCCTGGATGTTCCTGGGGATCGACGATTCAGTCCCAGACATGCGACGTCCTGATTTGTTCAGGAAGGCGTCCCCGCAAGTCCCGACCCTTCCCCTGGGACCGGTTTTTCGTCCTGAGTAGTTTTGTTGGCGGTCCCGAGGCCCGGCGAGGGCCCCCCCCGGGCCCGAAAATTGCCAAAAACCTCCCGTCCTGATTCTTTCTGCGACGCGATCATGTCTGGGTTGTGTCTGTGTTTTCTCCCCTCCTGAGCTCCCCCTCCAGGAAGTGCATCTGGTCCAGGCGGGCATCGTCGATCTCTGCTGGGTCGCCCATGGCGCCAGTGTTGCAGCCGAACTGGGCCACGACCACGGCTGGGCCGTCGCTGCCCTGTTCCATCCAGGCCTGGCTTGGGGATGCCACGACAATGGACACCCTAACAGTCCTATCATTGAGTTTGAATCTCGGGAAAATGTTCTAAACATGTTTTAAGCATGTTTTGTACTTGTTTTACATGTTCGATACATGGTGAACACATGTATAACGCATCTGGAATTTTTCTGGCAACATGCTCCATCTCCGTTGATCGTCCTCCATCCAGGCCTGGCGCCAGTGCCGGACCATGAACGGCAGAATGCACCTGTCCCCCTGCAGGTTGAGGACCAGGCCCTTCACGCCGAGTGCCGTCCAGGGGTGCATCATCCCGTTCCAGAGCACGGAGGAGGACTTGGGCTCCCAGAACTCCCCGTGCCCAGCGTGCTCGTTCACCGGGCACTTGCAGTCGATGAGCGCCTGGCGCGGGGCCCACTGCCAGGAGGCCGTGGCGCCCCAGCTGGCCTGGATCAGGCCGACGGGCGTGCCCGGCCGGCGGCGGAGCTGCTCCAGGCCGAAGAAGTAGCACAGGGAGCTGAACTCGGCCGTGTTGTTGTCGTTCCCGGCCTGCTGCCACTCGAACTGCGCCTTGAGTTTCTTGCTCGGCTCAGCGGCCTCATGCTTCTTGACCTTGATGATGCGCACGCGGTCGCCGGACTTCTTGGCAGCCCCGAGCGCCTTCTTGGCGTCCGTCGTCCAGTCGAGCCGGAAGTCGACGTTGCTGGCACCCACGCACATATAGAGCTCGCCGAAAACCACGTCGGTCAAGGAGATTGAGTCTGCATCCGTGCTCACGACGATGTCGACGGGCGTCGCCGAGACGTCCACGGGCGGGAGCATCACTTCAAAATACCAACTCGTGTAGTCTGGGTCGGTGTAGTGCTCCTCGCCCCCGAGCTTGACGACCACGGACCCGTAGTCGGGATTCGCCCAGCCAAAAAACTTGAACGAAACGCCTGCCGGAAGTACCATGTGGGAGCCGAACTGAGGAGGCAGCACCAGCGGTGGCCGTCCCAGCGGGGTGCTCGTGACCGAGACGTGCAGCATAGACCGGGCCATAGTACAGCAGATTTCCCAGCAGGCGCTGCCGTCAGCGTTCTCTGGGAGACATGCACCCTCGGTGTGGCTCCAGGAGCAATCGTCGCACTGCACCCCTGGCTCGTCCTCGTCTCCGAACTCGTCCTTGCTCTCCGTCCGCTGTCCTGCCCCAGAGTCGCTGCCGCCAGCGCCTCCGACGACCGCGGCAAGCTCGCAAGGCTTGAAGGTGTCTGGCACTGGCCCGTCCAGCAGCATCCTTCTCTCGATGACCGAGCTCAGCCACTCGTTGTCGATCATGTCTTGGATCTTCCTCCGCTGCTGCTCAGTCACCGTGCACGGCTTGGTGACCTGGGCGCAGCACTTGAGCCAGCAAGGGGAGCCATCGTCCGCGTCCACGTGGCAGCTCTTCGCGTCCGCCCAGTCGCAGGAGGAGGGGGCGTCGCAGCCGAACTTGACCGCGATGGAGCCCAGCCCGCCTGGCTGATCAGCGGGCCGCGCCGCCTCCGCGCCCTTGGCGGCGGCCGTGGCGGCGGCCGCGGCCGTGGTCGTGGCCGTGGCCGTGGCCGTGGTCGCGGCCCTGGCAGTGGTCGTGGCCCTGGCCGTGGTCGTGGTCCTGCTGGACCTGGGCCTGGGCGCGGCCGTGGTCCCGCTGGCCGTGGCCGTGGTCCCGTTGGCCGCGGCCGTGGTCCCGCCGGCCGTGGCCGTGGTCCTGCTGGACCTGGCCCTGGGCGCATCCGTGGCCTGCTTGGCCTCCGCCGCGTGCGCGGCCTGCCCTGCCTGCGCACCCCTGCCCGCGGGGGACTTCCGCCCGCCCGCCTCGGCGCCCCCGCTCCGGGCGGCGGCCGCGGCCGCGGCCTTGGCCGTGGCCCTGTTGGCCCCCGCCGTGAGCGCGGCCGCCCGCTCCGCGTGAGCGCCTCCGCTCGGCTGGGCCTTCTGCTCGCTCTTGGCCTCCACGGCGCCCGGCCGCCTCGTCGACTGGCGCCTCACGTCGCCGTCCCCGTCGCCCCAGGCCACGGCGCAGAAGGCGAGCGCTCCTGCCGCCACGCACACCGGCACCACCCAGGCGAGCCGCACGCCGCGCGGCCGTAGGCTGCCCGAGGGGAGCTCCCCGGCGAGCAGCTGCGCGTCCGAGCCGGAGCCTTCCCCGTCAGCGGCCAGGAGCCTCGCGCTCTGGGGGTGCGGCGCTGCGGGAGCCATGCGGCGGTCGGCAGCCTCCGGCGGCCACGGCCGGCACGGACTCCTATCCGAGGCGGCTGGGCGCAGGGGGGAGCGGCGTGGGCCGAAACGGCTTGAGCCAAAATGAATACGGATCCTCCTCCTCCTCCTCCTCCTCCTCCTCCTCCTCCAATTCCTCCTCCTCCTCCTTCTCCTCCTCCTCCTTTTCCTCCTCCTCCTCCTCCTCCTCCTCCTCCTCCTCCTCCTCCTCCTCCTCTCCCTCCTCCCTCCTTTCTCCCCTCCTCCTCCTACTCCTACTCCTCGTCCTCGTCACTCGTCCTCGCACCTCCTACCCCTCCCCCCCTCACCCCACTCTCCCTCCCTCCCCATCCCCTCCCTCCCTCTACTCCTCCTCCTCCTCCTCCTCCTCCTCCTCCTCCTCCTCCTCCTCCTCCTCTTCTCTCTTTTCTTTTTCCTCCTCCTCCTCCTCCTCCTCCTCCTCCCTACTCCTCCTCCTTCCCTCCTCCTCATCCCCGCCTCCTACCTCCTCGTCCTCTCGTCCTCGTCCTCGTCCTCGTCCTCGTCCTCGTCCTCGTTGTTCTCGTCTCGCCGTCGTCCGTCCCTCGTCTTCGTCGTCGTCCTTCTCCTCCTCCCCCCCTCCCTCCTCCTCCTCCCTACTCCTCCACCACTCCTCCTCCTCCTCCTCCTCCCTCCTCCTCCCTCCTCCACCTCCTCCTCCCCCTCCCCCCCCCCCTCCTCCTCCTCACCTCCTTCCTCCCATCCCTCCTCCTCCTCCTCCTCCTCCTCCTCCTCCCCTCCTCCTCCTCCTTCCTCCTCCTTCCTCCTCCTCCTCCTCCTCCTCCCTCCTCCTCCTCCTCCTCCTCCTCCTCTCCCCACTACACTCTCCTCCTCCCCCCTCCTCCTCCTCTTCTCCTCCTCCTCCTCTCCTCCTCCTCCTCCTCTCCTCCTGCCTCCTCCTCCTCTTCCTCTCCTCCCCCTCCTATCCTCGCCTCCCCTCTCCTCCTCCTCCCTCCTCCTCCTCCTCCTCCTCCTCCTCCTCCTCCTCCTCCCTCTTGTGTTGTGGCCTCTCGGGGCCACCTCAAGCTTTCTCGGGCTCTCATGGAGCCGGCCTGGAACCTTCTGAAGACACCTGGGGGCCTTCTTGGTGCGTGTTTGGACACTCTTGGGTTCCTGCGAAGGTCCTCGTCGACTTTTGTGGGGCTGCATCATGCGGGGGACAAGGACGGCCTCAATGGTGGAGACCTCCCTGTCGGCCTTCGAACGGCCTCCGTGTGGGCTGGAAGTGAGTTAGACGCCTGCTGATGGATAGCACATGTGGTTGTGAACTGCGTGATGATGAAATGGTGCTCGGCATGAGTATGCACCTGTCACCTCGCTCCGGCGATGCGCAAAACCTCCTCGCGGACACGTGCTGGCGCGTGGGCATCTGGACATCGGCGCTGCTCGCAGGAAGCGCGAGCACGGAGCACGAGGGCCCGAGGGCTGCACGGCCCCCGGGGCCCCAAGTCTGGCCGACATCGGCGCGCTCCCTATAGAAACGCCGACCACGGCATCCCTCACGTGGGTTAGAGAAAGGCCACCGAAACTCTGGCTGGCGCGCAACGCATGCGAGACTGACGCGCGAATCGGGCCGGGGGGGGGCCCAGAGCGCAGGAGGAGGAGGAGGGGGAGGAGGAGGAGGAGGAGGAGGAGGAAGAGGAGGAGGAGGAGGAGGAGGAGGAGGAGGAAGATGGGGAGGAGGCGGCGGCAGCAAATCGGCATCGGGTCGTGCATCGAAATTAAACTTCGAAAGAACCACGCCTCCAATAATTCTCAGAGATGTGCGACCTACCGTGCAGTGCCCCCACGGGGGAGCCCCGAGTGGAAACTCGCTCGACCACGACGCATCCTCGGAGCACTGATCTGGGTCGGCCCAAGCAAGCAGCAACGACGGGG